CAAAGAGTAAGAGGCTTTATTCTTGATTCTATATTGAGTCGAGTTAATAATAGTTCACTATATTGTCCAATTGATTGATTAAGTGTTGTCATGTTTTCTAGCCGTTATCGCATTGTCACACAATCAACTGGCTATTTATTCATTAGGCCTCATTAGCTCGCTGCTGTCGAAGTGCAACTGATGCAGCAACAAAGGCAGCAGAGCCAATCAAATGTAATTAAGCGCGAGATTAACTCTAATTATAATGAATTAAATGCGACGTCACTTTGGCCATTGAGGCAGATGAAATTCAGCTCGAGTGCAACATATATGTATGTATTTATAGAAGCTGTATATATCTATAGATAGAATTGACTATTAACAGGTTATCCAAAGGCTTAAAACAATCGTGTCTGCGTGTGAGTGGGCAAGTGCGATTGTGCGATAAGGCCTGATTAAGACCAGGGCCGCACGCGACAAGCAACGCGGCCCCAATTCCATTTGCATAATCAATGCATATTTGGCGACAACCATAAATTAACAAATAGAATTTAATTGCATACTTTCGGGCGCCGCTGCAATCCCACATACAAATTAATAATTCATTAATGCGCATTAATTGTCGTGTGCTGCAGCAGCAACAACAGCAACAGCAACACCAGCAACAACAGCAACAGCAAAATCAAAAACCCGCAACAAATAGCTGCAAATAAATGCCATATGCTTATTGGCTCAATGGCTGACACCCAATCGCAAACGCCCCTGCCTGCCACGCCTCTGCCTACTCATTTTAACCAACCTGTAATCCAGCGAAAGGCTTGCAAATTAATTGCAGCCTTTGTTGAGTTGGCTAGCCAAAAAAAAAAAAAAAAGTATTAATATGGCTGAAAGACTTAAAGCAGCAAATTTATGCGAGCTCCCTTAATATTTATGGCAATTGATTTTTTTTTGTCAGCGCTGAAATTAATGTACATATTTAAGTGTGAGCATAATATATGTAAAGTAAATAAATATTTAAACATGCTTTTTATGTTGCTCTGAATGTGTTTGCTTAACTTTAAATGTAAACTTTGCGGCGCTCCGCCATCAGCTAGCGGCCATCGATTGTCGTCTCTTTATTAATTTTTTTTATTTACGAGAAACATTTTAATTTTTTCAAGAGAAATATGCGGAATATGATGATCTAGATTTAATTTTTATTATAATTTATATCAATTTACTATATACCAGATAGATGTACATTAAATAATGTGAGTAAATGTAAATCGAAAAATAAAATAAAATAAATATTTGTAAATAAGCTTACTTGGCTTAAAATTAATTATTAAATAAGATGTTTTCTTGTTTTATTAAAATAAATTTAAACATAACCCGATTGCTTGAATAAAATCAAATAAATAAGCTATTGATTTCTTACTTTGCCCTTACTGGAGAATAAATACAATTAGAAATAATTAGAAATAAAAATATTGTTAGTTATAATTGCACACGATGCAACATAATCATTTAATTAGCGAATAAAGCTGCAAAAAAAACACAAACACTCATCTACAGACAGCAAGTTCAGCTTACCTTTATTAAATGAACTACAGGACTGTGCTCCACACTCCGAAGGGGAGTTACGGCGATATATACTGCACAGCTCATCGCTTCTCGTATCTCTGAGTTTACGCCCATTGCAATGGCCGCTCTCAGAGTGGAATTGGAACACAACTGCAAGATTGATTTTCGTATAGTCCGATTGCTTTGGAGTTTGGGATGGTCGTAAGTTATCTTCTAGACTAGAGATATGCGTAGCTGCACTCACAATATACAGAATATTTACAATAAATAGACTTAGCTCAGATATACATAGCTTCGGTCTTATTCCATACTGCCTTTATTTAAATAGGCTAGATGATAAAACCGAATCAAAAACTTAAAAAATCGCAAAGGTGTCGCATTACACAAGCTCTTGCATATATAATCTTTGTATTTCTCTGTATATACATATGTGTGCATGCATAATTGTAAGAAATATTGTTTTTGTGGTGTTTTTATTATTACTGTTGTTTTTACGCACGACCCAACAGCTCGTTCAGCCGCAGCCTCATTCATGCGATGTTTTTATAACTTATAATTAATATTCTTTAACTTTATTTAATATTCTGTGTAAAATTTAAAAGTTTTAAAGCAAGTGCAATTCACTTAATAGTCACTTAAACTTTCAAGCATGCGCTAATAAGCCATTCAACAGTTTTTCTAAGAAAAGCCAGCGTTTACTTAATTATAATTAAATCCTTTGGCATTTCATTGGCAACGCTTCTGTGCTGTGACCCGTCAAAGATGTTTGTGTATATACAACCTTTTAAAATCAGTTGCCCACTTAACGGTGCACAAAACAAACATGCGCCACGAATGGGAACCCAAGCAGCACACAGACACACACATATATATATACACCCACACTCATTCACATACACATAGAGAGACTGGTAGGATGCGTGGTAGCTGCGTTCCATGAATTCAATCAATTTTAATGCAATTTAAATTGCATTCTCTTGTGAAAACAGACAATGCGTGGCATCTACACACAAGCGCACACGCCCACACACACACACGCCCATACACACAGTCAAATGCAGTGGCATGCACACAGCAATGCAGTTAATATCCACACTCGGAGACACACTGAGACGTTTGCACATTATGCAGCCAGCGCAATGCGTTAATTGGTGGCCACGCCCCAATGCGAGTAGAAGAAGGCTCTCTCTCTCTCTCTCTCTCTCTCTCTCTCTCTCTCTCTCGAGGAGCGAACAGCGCAGAATGCGCCACAGGCCGCTGTCTTGCAATGTCGACGTTTTTATTGTTTCAACTGCCATTCACATTTATAGTTGGCACTCTTATCCTCCTCAATGGCCGTGATACGCAACGGTCGTGGCGCATCGCCCCACACTTGTGCAAATAAATAGCCGCATCTGTTGCACACAACCAACACGGCCAACAGCAGCCGCCGCATTCATATAGACGCCCTCAGCAGTGCTCAGTGCTCAGCAGTGACAAGCTGCATATCCGCTTACAATCGCTCGATTTTCAATACAAAACCGACGTGAGCTGGACGCCTGTAAATATGTATATTCTCCTTTGCAATAAGTTCACAATACACAGACAATTGAGACGCTGAGCAGTATATAGAATTGTGTCATGAATATATATATATATATATATATATATATATATATATATATATATATATATATATGTCTTATTGCAAATTTTGTAGTGCAATATTTGGAGCTAAGTTGAAACAGAAGCATAAATGGAACAAGTTTAGTAGAAAGTGAAGAACAAGCTGACTAAACAATCAAAAATCGAATTGATATTCAATAAATTTATATACTATATATAAATACATACCTATATCAATTTGAGGCTAGAATAAAAAATTGCATTAGAAAGTAACAATTAAGCTTAACAAATAAAAAAACTTATCTGTTTGGACAAAGAACTTAAAAGCCATGAAGGCATTCTTTGCGAGACACTTGGCAAACCATAAAAAAAAAGAATAATTTCAACATAATAATTTGGTTCACTAAATTCATAGGGGATTATCATGATCGAGCCCTTAGCCCTGTTAAGCTCCACAAATAATTTAATAATAATTATCAAAATTATTATTAGCTAATATCTTGTCAGTAGCTCAAATTATTTGGTATTAACGCATGGAATATATAATATCCAAACTTTTAAGCTCCAATATAGTAATGTATTTGTTTTTTTTTTTTTTTAATTCAATTGAAAAACTAAGTAAATTATTAATTTAAAGTATCATTTCAATGTATTTAAATAAATTATCGATTACAAGGCTGTGGACAGGTCTAATCCATTGCATGTAGCATAATATTGTAAATTCGCAGCGAGACTACAAATACAAAAAGGCGGCTTAAAACTAGTGTAAAATTGAAATGCTGATTATCGCATTTGGTTAGTCGGTTGTGGCTGTTCGAATTACTTTTTTACTCTCCTATGATTTTATTTTTAGATTTTTTTATAGGCAATCCCTTTTAATGTTTGCGCAATCCCTTTTAATGCGCACAATTAATTTCGTTATGCTTTGTCGCCTTTGACACGTTGCTGGTTATCACACACACACACACTCGCACACACACACACACACACACACTCACACTCGCACACACACACTCATTGAAAAAGTGCATAGTGTAGCAATTTGCTAAAATACCGGAGCTTAGGATATAATGCGAAATCTGGTCGGCCCCCAAACCCGGCCGACCGGATGTGCGTATCGAATAATCATTGCATAATTATGGACACCGAGCACTGCATGCTGCATGCATATAACATGCATGTTGCTTGCCGCGAATGTTGCAATTTGCAATTAGCATGCGCAGCCGTAATTAAAATTATTTTTAATTTAAACAAATACACACACACTGACACACACACACACAATGAGAGCAGCATTTGAACTCGCATCGTTGACATAACATTGGAAATTCATTTGCAGCTGTAGTCGACATACCCGAAAAGCCATCAACAAATTGTCAGTGTTAGTGTTCGTTAGCTGAATTGATTTCCCAAAAAATTGTGCTCTGCATTTTCATGTTTACACTAAAGCCAAAATGCATGTGGTTTCACATTTCTGGTATATATTTGATAGGGTTAATATGCACATCATCTGCATATATGCATCTGTGTGCGTGTGTGTGTGTACGTGATACGATTAAACCGGCCTTAAATCATTTGGCATTACAAAAGCATGCCAAATCCAATCCAAATTGATTTTCCGTTGTTTTTTTTTTTTATATTTTCATGCTGAACTTCTAATAGGCAATTATATTTGAATAGAAAATGTTTGACATTTGGCCAGAAATAATTTACTGCAAATGCGGCTGTAATAAACCAAAACCAAACAAATATGTGAGATACTTGCAATTGGCATTCGAAATCCATTTCGTTGAATTTCGTCAATGGAGATATGAAAATGTTGTTTGAGGAAACTGATTTGCTTCGTTTAGCTCTATGTGACTCAAGTATTTTTTGAACCCATCTGCGTGCGGGAATACTGTGCATTGAGTGCCCGCATTTTGGAGCTGTGTCCGCTCTGGTCACACTGCGCGTAGCGAGCGCGTATGTAGATCATATAGGACGTGTCAGACTGAGCCGCAGGCCTCGGCTCGTGCGCGCTGTCCCCGCTGCATTCGTCAACGATCAGCTCGAACTGGCAGTGAAAGCAGCGCAAGAGGAGCTGCTGCTTGCCCCGGAAACGAATGTCGCCACAGGCGCTGCGCCGGCACAGGCGGCAGGTGTACCTGCAGCTGGCAGCGCAGTCGGCGACGAGCGGCAGCTGCGGCAGCAAGGACTTGGCGCGATAGGCCCTGAACGAATGGCGACTATAGATAATGCAAATACCAGCTAATAACATAATCGGAGTCCACCTACCACTTGCGCGTGTTGAGGCCGTGCGCCATCTCCCCATTGTAGACGAAGGCGGCTGCATGGCACATCTCGTGCAGCAGCAGCTCGATCAGCTCTCCGGCTTTCCGTATGTGCGAGGGGAGCTGGACTCGTGCTTGGCGCTGCAGATCGCTTCCAAGGCTCAGGGCACAGCTGCCATGCAGCTTTCTGGGCGGCAGCCAGTCGATGCACTGGCGCAGGCCACAGTAGAAGACCACGTGGTTGACCAGCCCGAACAGCGACTTGGCCAGCTCTGCCTTGCAGTCGTCGAAGCTCTGCTGGCGATAGCCGAGCGCAAGGGGGTGGCACATGACAAGGGGCGTGTCCGCTGCAGAAACGAGCTCAGCTCGAATGAATGAGGGATGAATGAGTTCATTTATGTTCATACTCACGGCTCAGGGAGCTGAGAAAGTCATAGCAGAGCAAGTGCTGCTCCTGCTCCAGCAGCTCTGCTGTGCAGCTCTCCTGCTCCTGGATTCGCTGTACCAGCGCCTTGTAGTCTAGCTCCTGCTCTTGGATTTGCTGTACCAGCGCCTTGTGCTCGCGGCAGTTGTGGGTGCGTTGCTTCTCGTCGGGCAGGTGGGTCAGGTCGATGGGCTCCTTGAGCTGCCGCGGCGTTTGCTGCTCAAAGGACGCCGCATTGAGGCGCTGCACATTCTCCACAAATAGCTTCTGCCTGAGTAAAGGGAATGACTTGAGTGCCTCCATGCGAGGCAATTGTAGCCGCTCCCATTTCGCTGGCTCTGGCCTCACTGACTCCTCAGGTACATGCTCACTCTCTGGTATGTCCTCAAATGTGCCGCTAGGATTATAGAGCGTACGCCGTGCTGGGCAGCGTCCCAGAAAACAGTCCAGGCGCCGCTTCAGCTCAACATCAGCATCGACTGCCTCAGCTGCTGCTGGCTCACTGCGTACAATGGCTATTGGCTGACCGAGGTCCAGATAGATCAGCAGGACAGATGCTTCTGCTACTGCAATACTTCCTGAAGTTTCCTGCTGTTCGAGCCTCACACGTGAGCGCAGAACTCGCTCGGAGCCAGAGCTTGGGCTGACTTCGGATTGAGAATCTAAATAGTAAATATTATTTAGTAATGCCACTTCTATAAAATACTTTGGCTATGCAACTTGCCCATTCTGCACAAATTGATTCTATTTTGATATTTTTCATTACCGAATTTGATATTATTTTTTCGTAGTATGACAGCTTGAGTGGAACTGAAATCTTAAATGTCAGTCATCAAAGTATTTCCATAAATAAATCCAGTTCTTCATCAGCATTTTTAATAGCTTGGCCTTCCGGGAACAAGATGTGAACTTAATAGTGCAACTTTTTTCTTATGCGCTCACCTGCCACAATGATGACCGCAATGTGAAGTTTATGAGCATAATGGGTGCTTATTTCCACTAAACGGCTAATAGCACTTCAGTGTTGCGCTTGTAGCTATGTAGCCATTATTTATTTATGCTCCTGGCTTATCCGAATGTATATTTTCCGACGTTTGTATACGTATCTATGAGTGTCTGTGTGTATGCATGTGTATGTATATATTTTAGTACACTTCATTTAAATATGTGCATAACTTGCAGTCAAGAAAGGCAAGCAGCTTTTTAAGCACCTGCAGCGGATCCTTGAAAGCGCCAGCGCAGCGCACAAAGCATTCTCCGTACAGCCCTCTATATGGCCGACAAACTGCACACACACACATATACATGTACGTATATGTATGTATATAAATATATGTAGCATGCCATACTCTATCATGAAAAAATAAAAATAAAAATAAAAATAAGCGCTCGCTTCCAGAAAAATGAAAATGCTAAACAAAGAAAATAAAAGCAAACGCCGCCACGAAAAAACCGAGCGCAAGGCATGAAAAAAACAAAAAAACAAAAGAAGAGAAACTAAAAAGAAATATGCCGCTGCACTGACTGAGAGAAAAGAGTGGGCGTGTGAGAGATGGTGAGTGAGAGAGAGAGGGAGAGGGAGATGGAGTGGGAGGCGGCAGGGGGCTACACTGGTCAGGGTAGTCCTAGCATTATTTTGTATTACAGCGACTCTATGGCTGACCCCCGAGCTCAGCTTGTATTGCAATTTTTCAATTTCAAAAACAATTTTGCTCTGCCAACATACGTGTGGTCAAAGATAAGCTGTGTAAATATATATATGTATGTATATACATATATATAAAAAAGGCGAAAAATAAAACTTCAAAAATAACAACAAAAAGCGCGCAATAAAACCAAAATAGCTGCAAACCAAAGCGAACCGCAGCTCAAGCAGCTACTACAGCCGATCAAAAATGGCCAAAGCCAGAAAGGCGGCCAAAAAAAAAAAAAAAGAAAGCGGAGCATACAGATTCACATGCGCACACACACACATATACAAAATACTATGACCAAAAATAAAAAATATTCGTTGCTGGGGGTGGTGCTGGGGTGCTGATGGTTGTGCATGATATTGTGCAAAGGCTGGCAGCCGCTACCAGCGGGACATGCCACACAATGAATTGTGTTGTCCAGCATTTAGTCCTGCTATACACACACACACACACACATACATATATATATGTATATATATATAAAGAGAGAAAAAAAGGCGACCCGCTGCGCTCGACTCGAGCTGGGGGGGCGGGCAAAGAAAGTGGAACAGCCAGGCTCAATTGACCTGCTGCAGGACGTTGTTGTAGGTGCAGATGACTCGCTCACTTGGCCTCTTTATGGAGCTCCTTTTGATTTAGATTCCGTTTTCATGCCTCAGCATTTTAGTGGGCGATATCTGGCCACTGCGGCCGCCTCCACACAAAGCACATAAAAGCCATTTGTGGCAGTGTTTCATATTTCAAATGCAGGCCGTTATGTGAGCTCAAAGCAAAAGCTAATTGCTGCTCAATTAACTGACAAGTTCAAGTTCGCACAACAAATACCCGGCTGGGGGTAATTAGTATACAGATACTTGTGAATTGTGCCATAAACATTTGAATACTCACACTGCAGAGTTGCTAATTTCAACAAATACTGTTAGTCGATGTAGCCAAAGATGATAGCAGCACGCCCACTACTTTGTCTTTTCATATTAAAATAATGTTAAAGGTGCTCCTGGAACATGTGGCTAATATAATTTATATAAAATCAAGGTAAGTGAGAGCTGCTGAGATTTATGCTGCACTGGGATGAGAAATGAGTGAGCTGTAGCCATCTAAGCTGCGCTGCTCGTCGCCCCAAGGGCAACAAGTTAGCAGATTCGTGGAGCAAATTCACAAATTGGTATTGAACTTTCAATGAATAACGCCATCAAAATACTATATATACAAATAAACAATTCATTTATATGCTACTACCACAACTCAGTAATCTCTTGTTTTATGCATTTGGGAATTTTCAATTTATCTAATCCGATATTCGCAAGACTTACACGTTTTCAATGCTCTGCAGCTCTGCGCTGATTTATCATGCGACTCGCATATGGCTCAGAAAAGCGATTTTCAATAGGTGCCACATCAATGCTGCACTCGCATGCTTAACTCCCAGCACACACACGCACACACACTCACACACACGCATGCACGCATAAGAAGCGTGAAAGCCAATGCCAATACAAATTGTGCTGCATTTTCGAGCAGAGCTGGCAACATATAAAAAGCAAAGCCAAGACATAACTTCAGCTTGGTGCAGCGATAACAATTATTGCACCGACTGCTGCAGCTGGCACGCCCTGACCGCACTCGCAAATGCAACGGCAGCAGTAATGGTCACATCGACTGCAGCGCATAGCCAGCACACCACAGCTCAAACTGCATTAATGCTTGTGGCTGACGCAATGCGTCTTAGTTATTATGGGCGTGTCTGCGGTGCAGCGTCGCCAAAGGCAACAGCTGTCAGGCATGAGGACTGGCACTGAGCGTGAAAAGTGGTATTTAGCAGTCGCTGTCAGCGCCGATGCCAATGCCAATGAAAGTGCCAATGCATTGTGGCAACTATATGCTTAATGTGCACTGAGCCAACAGGGCGTATGCTTATTAAGAAATATGTGACCACTGCAGCGTCAGTTGACCAAGTCAATAACAAGACACAATAACTAATTTAGATAAAATCCTAAATTTTAGCCATCAACTTGAGTGAATATTCTCCTAAGCATTACATCATCATACTATACTTTTATTTTAACTTTGTTCTCAGCTATTCCAGTTAAACTGCTTTCGTTTGTATTTTTGGCAAATGAATTAAAATCAAATCAAAGCTGCTAAAACAGTTTCCATGTGTTCGACGAAAAGCCCCAATTTGTTGCAGATGAAATTCGTGAATTTTGTGAATTTTGTGGTGCGGCAGCAGTGCGTATACTTAATGTGGCTTTAGCTCAAGTAAATTGACAAAAGCTGCGCAGCACTCAACATATCGGCAGGCAGGCGGCAAGCGGCAGGAGGCGGGCGGCAATCGCATTCGGTGGCAACGGCAATAACACAAACCGCAAATCCCCAAGCCTCTATAACATTTCTCAAACATTGCCATAGAAAGCTAGGCGATGCAATGCGATGCGATGCGTGGCGTGGCAAGGCGAGGCGAGGCGTGGGCAAGGGCAAGCCGCATAAGCCGCTAACAGCCACAAGCCAAGTCGAGCCAAGCCAAGCAGAGCAATGCAAACAAAAGCTTTGCAACAGGAGCAATACAATAACGAAAAAAGCACGCACACACACACACACGTAGAGAAAATGGCAAATGCGAAACGCGAGCAAGCCAAAAGCAAAGCAAATCAAAGCGAATGCAACACTCAATTGCTATTATCGAAAACGCACAGGGCAACAACAATAGCAGCTGCCGACTTTTCAAAACAGTAAATTGCCCTTTTCCTTAAGGAAATGCAGTAAAACCCTGAGCAAAGCTCCAACAGCATCCTCCCTCTTACCCGCTCTCTCCCTTTCTCACTGCTTCTGTTCAGTCTTACTTTTTATATTAAAAACCGCGTAATGGAGTGCAACTTATTGCCTGTGCATTTGAAGTTTACCCGGCTTCGCCGCCCACAGCTGCCCTGTCGCTTTGTGTGTGCAAATCTGCGGAAATGCAATGAAAATGTAATGAAAACGCCAATGAAACGTTCATGGCATTGCCATTGCCATAGCCATAGCCATAGCCAGAGCTCTGTGCCTAAATACTCATTGATTTCAAAAGCAAGAGACGACGGACGGCTTCAGCTCAAACATCAATAGGCTGCACGTTGCACGCTTTCCCCGCGCTCCCCTCGCTTAGCACTGCACAAAGCTATTAGCCAGAGATTTCAGCCCGGAGCGAAACCCGCAAAATTCGGCGACCAATCCGTGTTGCAATCCACGCACCCGGCTCGAAACATCAGCCCAGTGGGAGTTGCCAGTTCACGCAATTTAGGTGCCAGCCCCCTACGGCTGGTTGTCTTCCCTGCTTCCAAATGTGGCAAGGCTCATAGCTGCTATTACATCTAACGGTGCATTTTCGATGAAATATTTAATGTACTCAGTCGATGGTTTCTTTTTAAATAACTTACAGTTATTAAATAACCCATAGTTATGTTATATCATAGTGTTAAAATCTGATAGGTGGTTCAATTGAGCACACAATATATGTAGAAAATTTCCTTAAATATTTAGAGCTTAAAATAAATTTTTAGAGCTTAAAATAAATTTTTATTTTGAATTAATATTAACTATAATCACTCACATTTTTTGTATAAGCTAAAGAAAAAATTTATAAAAAATGAAATTAAATGCAAAAACAATTTTTTTTTTTTTAAATTATTTTTAATAATTCTTTATTATTTTTCAGAGAACACATTTTTTTTATTGTGTTGCTCCAAATTGATGCACTGTACTAATTATTATCATTAATATGGAATTCCTTATGAATTCAAGTTAATATAATATATTATTTATCACTCTTCAATCGAATTCAAATGTTTTCTTTTTGCTCTTCTATTCATTTTCTTTCCTTCAATAAACACATAAAAATTTCCCTTAAATTAAGAAACTCTTTTGTCAATCTACTGTAAAAAATCATTTAAAAACCCAGCTCTTTGCCTTTCTTATAGTTTAATAAATAAATA